AGGTTGTACGTCAACCACGCCACCAACCACACCACGTACTGTCAACACAGTTATTAGGTTGTACGTCAACCAGGCCACCAACCACACCACGTACTGTCAACACAGTTATTAGGTTGTACGTCAACCAGGCCACCAACCACGCCACGTACTGTCAACACAGTTATTAGGTTGTACGTCAACCACGCCACCAACCACGCCACGTACTGTCAACACAGTTATTAGGTTGTAGGTAACTACGTTACCAACCACACCACGTACTGTCAACACAGTTCTAAGGTTGTAAGTAACCACGCCACCAACCATGGCATCAACCACACCATGTATAAGGTTAAACGTGTTACAAGTTCATTCAAGTTCTTTGTTCTCAATAAAGTCACTGGTACGTGAGCTCACATAAGTTATTACATAAACTAGCTGCAGAATAGAATTTCTTCGTTCACTTCCAAAACTGTAAGGCTTTTCTAGAGCTGAATCTAGGCGAAGTATTATGTTATGTTACTCTAGATACCTCCCTCTCATGACCGTGCCCAGTCTATAGGGTACCTACATGCAGCACGGCACATACGTCGCTACTACCGTACGTCACGTACGTAAGTAAGAACGTATGCATGTGATTCCTCCAATATATACGGCAACTAGTGTTACGGAGACCACGTTACAGAAGTTACGGAGGGCACGTTACAGAAGTTACGGAGAGACTACGTTACAGAAGTTACGGAGACCACATTACAGAAGTTACGGAGAGACTACGTTACAGAAGTTACAGAGACCACGTGACAGAAGTTACGGAGACCACGTTACAGAAGTTACAGAGAGACTACGTTACAGAAGTTACGGTGACCACGTGACAGAAGTTACGGAGACCACGTTACAGAAGTTACAGAGAGACTACGTTACAGAAGTTACGGAGACCACATTACAGAAGTTACGGAGAGACTACGTTACAGAAGTTACAGAGAGACTACGTTACAGAAGTTACAGAGAGACTACGTTACAGAAGTTACGGAGACAACGTTACAGGAGCATTAACTCGGTCGTGAAGCCAGGCCACGTGCGGCATTTGTTTTAGCTTCTGCGCCCGCACAACACGAGGCCTAATGAGGCCATAGCCGGTAACGGCCGGTACCGGGACCGAAAGGGACCATGTAACTACCGACCTTGGGCTGGTCTGGCCCCCACCGTGACGATGTACTTGGGCTTGGTCTGGTACCCACCGTGACGATGGTACTTGGGCTTGATCTGGCACCCACCGTGACGATGTACTTGGGCTTGGTCTGGCACCCACCGTGACGACGGTCAGATGTGAATTGCTGGCATGGATACACAGCTTCCTAACAGAAAGACTACAAGCTATTGTAGGAGGCTCGAGATCGAGCGAGGCTAGGGTGAAGAGTGGAGTAGGTACCACAGGGAACGGTACTCGGCCCAATCCTCTTCCTCATTCACATCGCCGACATAGATGTGGCTGTGAACCACGCCACTGCATCGTCATTCGCAGACGACACCAGGATACTAATGACCATAATGGACAGGAGGGACTGCGAGAGGTAGCAAGAAGACCTCTCGGCAATTTACGACTGGGCCCAAGCGAACAACATGCAGTTCAACGGGACCAAGTTTGAGGTTCTGAGATACAGAGGTAGCGGAAGAGCAGGGATGGAGCACCGCTACCTAGCACCTCACAACTCGGAAATCGAAGAGAAGCGACTCGTTCGTGATCTTGGAGTGTTGATGAATACTCAGGTCAAGTTTGGTAATCACATAACGGCAATAGCCGCAAGAGGTAGGCGACAGATGGGGTGGATCTGGCGAACGTTCAGAACAAGAGAAGCGGAACCAATGATCACACTCGTTAGAGTCCTTGTAATACCAATCCTTGAATACTGCTTCCAGCTCGGGACCCCGTTCACACTCTTCGCAATGCGGCAACTGAAAGGGGTCCAACGAACCTTCACTTCCAGGATCAGAGGGATTGATGAGTTGAACTACTGGGTGAGGTTGAAGCACCTGGGTCTCTACTCACTGCAGAGGAGATGGAAGAGGTATGTCATTCTCTACACATGGAAAATAATGACCCAAATGGCACTAAACTTCGAGAGCGAGACCTTCAGGATTGAGACATATCACAACGAGAGAAGGGAGAAACTGTGCAAGATGCCCTTACTACGTAACAGATCTGCAGTCAGATTTCAATCCCTGCGGGAAGGATCACTTTCCACGGCAGGGCCGAGGCTGTTTAACGTCCTACCAAAGGATCTAACAGAGGGAGAGTTCACCCTGGAGACCTTCAAGAGACAACTGGATGTGTTCCTGGGCACAATCCCAGATCGACCTCCCCTGCAACACTACCAGCGGCGAGAAGCAAGCAACAGCATCGTGCATCAGGTGGCCCAAATGAGGGCGGATGAATGATAATCAGAGGCGGCGATCCATCGTGGCCTGGGACTGCTACGTCCCAAACAAATACTATAGATAGTAAGGATGTAATTGGGCTTGGTCTGGCACTCACCGTGACGATGTACTTGGACTTGCTCTGGTAGGCGCCAAAGAAGCCGAAGATGACGAAGATGACGTGGAAGAAGGTGGCGAGGATGGGCAGCCACATGAAGCCCAGGAAGTCAAACACCTGCCGCAGCCCAGAGCTCGCCTGCATAACAACATATTTATATTATAAACAACAATACTCTGATGCAACAGACAATGGCAACTAACCGCAGTTATTACCAACAACTTCGAGACGACTACGTCGCACCTTTTTTCTTAGTTAAACAATACTACCGCTATCGTCAAAGTCACAGCCGCAACTATAACTGCATGACATTAGCCTTAACAGATCAAGTGATAATTAAATAATATACAATAATGACACGTCATGAGTAGTGATGAAGCGAAAAAAACACGTGTTTAACAAATTAAACACGGCGCTGTCGTCATTTTTTTCTACATTTGGTCAACACTGAAAACTTCAATAGAGAAAGTTAAACAATCTTCCCTCGTACTGACGGTATTGTTCTCGGCTTCAGAAAAAACATTTCAAAAACCAAAATGCCAGCAATTTAGAAAATGCAGACTTGGATTTCTTATTGAAAAAATCTAGTAAGGATTCATTATAATAAATGATACAATTTAAACATATGAGAAATGGCAATAGATGGATGTGATAGATGAGGACCTAAGAACAGAAAACTAAAGAGACGATAAATCAGCGGGATACTAAATGATATGACTAATTCCGCGACAGCGGGACCAGCTGTCGGGATCCGCAGGAGGCAAGTTGACATGACAGCTGGTGCCTTCACATAACGCGTTGACATGACAGCTGGTGCCTTCACATAACAAGTTGACATGACAGCTGGTGCCTTCACTAACGCGTTGACATGACAGCTGGTGCCTTCACTAACGCGTTGACATGACAGCTGGTGCAGTCACTAACGCGTTGACATGACAGCTGGTGCCTTCACTAACGCGTTGATATGACAGCTGCTGCCTTCACTAACGCTGCTGTCGGTAACAATGTTCACTCGTAACGTCTTTCCGTCGCGCTATAACGGAAGAATGCAGAAGTATAACACATCGCAGCCCAAAATCTTATACTCGTTCTCTAGGAACTGTTAACTGTTCAGTTGAAGACTCACAGCTGAATGAGGCAGCTGGACAAGTCAGTTCACAGTAAGATAACTCCTGGCGTCGAGAACATATTTCTAAACAAAAATTTAGTCTTATAGCAACGCCTTTAGTTCATTTGAATATATTGATTTGAGCTACTTAGCCCGTTTATATATATTTAGGTGGCAGTTACTTTTGTATAAATTGATGCCTGTATTCTTGAAGTTGCCAAAACATTTCAACTCAGATAAGGTGAATTTATTCGACAGTTGCTTTACTTTTAATTTCATAGCGTGGGAAAGTATTGTTAACACATATTTTGACGAGGAATTCATGTCTTTGTCTACTGTATTTGAGTTTTTAGTGAAATTATAGTCAATGGCGGAAATTGTGCTGTTTTTAGAAAATACGACAGTTACACTATATCCTTGTTTGAAAGTTGAACTCGCCTCTCCCCCTTAAATAGAATGAAAAAGATAACATTCATGAGAGCGTACAATCCTGCTAGTTCTTTCGTCATATTGTAAACATTTCTAATCAATACAAAAACATGAGTTACAGGCTCGCTGCTACCGCTGCTTGCTGTGGTGAATGAGTGAGTAAGAAGCAAGCGGTGCGGCATGTTGTTGGCCTGAGTAATTTGTCGTATTTTATTAATGGGCATAACAATCAATGTATTTTGTTGAATAACTAATTGGACATCTCGCTTACTCAGACATTTGTTACAATTAGCCGTCGAACGCTAATTAGAGTGTAATTAAATTAGGTTTACACGACAGTTTAAGAACATTCAGCGACATTCAACGTTTACCAACATTACGCAACATTCAACGTTTACCAACATTCAGCGACATTCAACTTCGAAGCTCTGTTACATTGCGACATGACAGCATGAGCGGCATGTGGCGAGGCGAATAGCGCCGTGAGTGCGCCACTCAGGTGGCGGTAGGAGTAGCGAGTGGCGAGGCAGGTGTAGGAAGTGGCATGCGTGGCAGGAAGTGGCATGCGTGGCAGGAAGTGGCCAGCGGTGCGCGTGGCGGCGAGCAACGCGTGGGAACAACTGGACACGCGAACACCGGGCACAACCAGGCATGTAACCAGCAACCAGGGATGCAACCAGCAACCAGGGATGCAACCAGCAACCAGGGATGCAACCAGGTACAGTGATAACAACGGCGCAGCGATAACAACGATGCAGCGATGACAACGGTGCAGCGATAACAACGGTACTACAGTGATAACAACGGCGCAGTGATAACAACGGTGCAGCAATAACAACGGTGCAGCGATAACAACGGAGCAGCGATAACAACGGTGCAGAGGTAACAACGGAGCAGCGATAACAACGGAGCAGCGATAACAACGGTGCAGAGGTAACAACGGAGCAGCGATAACAACGGTGCAACAACAACAACGGTGCAGCGATAACAACGGTGCAGCGGTAACAACGGCGCAGTGATAACAACGGCGCAGCGATAACAACGGTGCAGCGATAACAACAGCGTAGCGATAACGGTGCATCGATAACAACGGCGCAGCGATAACAACGGCGCAGCGATAACAAGGGCGCAGCGATAACAAAGGCGCAGCGATAACAACGGTGCAGCGATAACAACGGTGCAGCGATAACATCGGTGCAGCGATAACAACAGCGCAGCGNGACCTCCAGGGGGACCGGGGGTTACGTGGGGTAGGGATGTGGAGCGGTGAGGAAGGGGTTGGAATGATTATAAACAGGGGTTTGTAGGGGTGAGTGTTTTGGGGTGAACAAAAATAAATGTTTTGGTGAAAATTGATTAGTGAGGGGGTGGAGGTCAGAAGAAACTCCCTCGCCACAACACAAACAACATTCACGCACCGCCCACTCATCATTTTCGCCCACTCATATCGACGAGTGTGTTTACTACACTACTGTACTCCACCTCTCCACAAACCCTGCACCACTCGCCCCCCCACTCCACCACTCCAGCCGCACTATAGTTGGTGGTCCGCGCGTAGGCAGAGCTGGACAGCGCTACTTTGAAATGTAGTGGCCGCTACCGCTGCCGCTACATGCTCTAAATGTAGCGCGAGCTACCGCTACCGCTACTGAAAATGTAGCGGCCGCTACATGTAGCGCGCTACTGCCCACCTCTGCGTGTAGGTCGGCCGTCCCTGACCGGCCAGCGTGGCCTGGGGCTGCTACGTCACTAATACATACTAAGGCCAGCGCGTACGAGTGAAGGTTGCGCTGCGGCTAACCTCACCCCCAACCTCTCAGCCCCACTATTTCCCTTTCAATCCCCACCCCTTTACTCCACCAACCACTCAACCACTCATTCCCCTCCCACCCCCACTCCTTAAGAGCGAGTACCGGCGCGTGAAAGTGACGCGATAACAGACCACAGCAACGGCGAAAACAACAGCAGCAGCAGCAACATACAGTAACAACCGCAACTACAGTAACAACAGCAGCAACTACAGCAGAATCAGCCACAGCAACTACAGTAAAAGCAGCAGAAACTACAGTAAAAGCAGCAGAAACTACAGTAACAGCAGCAACTACAGTAACAGCAGCAACTACAGTAACCGCAACAGTAACAACAGCAACAGCAGCAAGACTAGCAACAGTAGCAGTAACATAACATCAAAATAGAGCCAGGTCATGGAGGCAGGTCGCAGGCTCCAGCACTGCGCGGAGTGAGGGCACTTCTGC